AAAAAAAAAGAAAGAGAATGCTCAAACTTGCTTGTAATCAAAACAATGCAAAAAATTAGATTTTTCTTTAAACTAGCAAATTGGCAAAAATTTTTTGCAAAGTATAAAGATATTAGCAGGGATGAAATGAGTCCTCTTGTGCACTGCTGGTAAAAGTCTAAATTAGTATATTTTATGAAAAATAATTTGATAGTGTAAGTCAGTAATGTTTACATGCCTTAGTCCAATTCTATTTATAGAAATGGACCCTAAAGAAATAATTCCAAGTGTGGGCAAAGATTTATGCAGAAAAATCTTCATTGTGGTATCTTTAACAGTGGCAAATTAGGTAATCCTGAAATGTCCAAAACAGAAGAAATGGTTAAGCTAATGAAAAATCTTGTTTAGAAGCTGTTTTGTTTTTTATTTTAATGTGGAAAAATGTAGGTGATCCCATAGGCTTTATAATGAAGGATTACTCCAGAGTCTTGTCTTAGGAGTTTTTAATCCCATCTAAGAGTCTAGAATGTTTTTGGTAAAGAAAAGTGGGTGTGCTACAGCATCAGACAGACATGGCTCAAACCTCAGTTTTGTTGCTTACTCCACTGTACAATCTTGGGTAATTTCTCAGGGATTTAGTTCCCTCTTCTCAGATAGGAGGATTAATAGGTCTGTGTAAAGATTAGTGATAAACAGCCGGGCACAGTGGCTCAGGCCTGTTATCCCAGCACTTTGGGAGGCCGAGGCAGGCAGATCACCTGAGGTCAGGAGCTCGAGATCAGCCTAGCCAACATGGTGAAATCCCATCTCTACTGAAAATACAAAAATTAGTCGCTCATAGTGGTGCACACCTGTAATCCCAGCTACTCGGGAGGCTGAGGCAGGAGAATCGCTTGAACCTGGGAGGCAGATGTTGCAGTGAGCCGAGATCATGCCACTGCACTCCAGCCTGGGCGACAAGAGCGAAACAACTCCATCTCAAAAAAAAAAAACAGGATTAGTGATAAACAAAACAAGATTAGTGTATATATGTATATCACTTACATATATATGTAAAGAATCTTGCATATAGTAGATGAATGGTAGTTACAATTATTGGTTACAACTTCAGTGTATCAATGGCTTAAATAGAGCACTGTAGGAAACACAATTAACTATTCAGCCAACTTGTGATTTGGCTCCCATAGGCAAGCATGGTGCCAGTATGGACAGAACACAAATGAGGAAGGTCTCTCTTCTCAAAAAGTTTACGCTCCAGTGGGAGGCAGGCTATGAATTTCAACAAAAACAGTTAATGGAACTTTTAAATTCAGATATTTTCTGTTGTTCCAGACCTAAGGGAAAAGGGAGAGTAGTCCACAAAAATGCCCCTCGTGGCCAGCCGTGCTGTCACCCATGAAAGTTGCAGCACTTATTCTATAGGCTTTTTATGTATTACCAACCTTGCCTTTCAGCTTTATGACCTGACACAGGTTGAAGTCAGTAAAAAACTGAATCAGTCCTAAAAGACCATCTATAAGTACTGATAATGTGAATGAATAACTTGCTATTGTTCTTTTGTGCTATAATTTCTCCCATAGGTAAAGCTTTAACTCTATTTTAGAAAACACAGTTTTGATGTTATCTCATTAATTGGCAGGATGAAATAGCTCTCAGGTGGCTGTTGTTAGCTAATGTCCCAAGCAAAGCAGTGTTACAGTGGTTTCCAAATTTGTCCGCAAATTTGGAGATCTCTTACAAACTACAAGTCCCAGGCCACATCTCAGACCAATTTAGTCACAATCTCTGGGGAAGGGACACAGGCATCAGCATTTTTTGAAGCAGACAAGTTTGGGAACTGCATTTAATGGCTGAGACCACTGGCTCTGGAATCAGAGTTCCTGGAACCAAATTTTGGCTCTAACCTATGATCTAGGGCAAGTTTATTTAAGCTCTCTGCAACTCAGTATTTTCACCACTGAGTTCTTGCTTCAAAAAGTTGTTAGAGGAAAGTTAAATAATGTGAAGAATGAACACTGCATAGTGTCCAAAAACACAGTAAATACACAATAAATGGCATTATTTGTTAGGCAGGGATCTAGACCCGACATGGCGGCGCCACCTGGCGTAGCAGGCCCTTTGTTCGAGACTTCCCTTCCTCTTTGAACACACCCACAGTCTTGCATACGTCAGAGGTTCCGGCTGGGCAACCACACTCCCCCATGACCTGCAGCTCACCTGCATTCCACAAGTTCGTAAACAGCAGTTTCGGTTAACAGTTTCCAGAGACCCCTTCCTCATGACCCTTACTCGACTCCTGCCCTAGTAGTTTCAAGACCCCCCAGGCCCTGTTTGTACAACCAGCTTCCCTACCTCTCGGGCTATAAAAAAGCCCCTACCCTCCTCCCTCAGCGCGACTTCCTCGGCCCACACCTTTGGACCGAGGAACCTCGCCCGCGAGTCCTAATAAAGGCTAATCTCACTGCCATTTGCCTTGTGTCTTTGTTCCCGGTTCAGCTCCAGCCTCAGTTTACCTTTACATTTGGTGCCGAAACCTGGGAGGAGACCCCCTCCCCCAGACCCCTGCTGGGTCGGGCAGGCTCCCTTCTCCCCGAGCCAGGACCTTCTTTCCAAGCCAGGAGCCGTTTCACCAAATCCAAGACTCAATTTGATCACTGCTGGGTAAGTTTTCCCCTGT